GGCCGCTGCAATAATGTACTATATTACACAAAAAAATACAATAACAACACAGAATAGTAATTTAAGTATTACAGATTAACCGCATACATATAATTGCACGCAACTGTACCAAACATAGTTTACGTCAAAACGGCCAGCAAAAGCACACGCCTACAGGGTGTTAATACTGGTTGAATAAGACTACCAATACAAACAACTCTCATTGGTCATATCAGTATGACAAGCTAGTATGACCAACCAATAAACGGCCATTTACGTCCAACAGGCGGCCTTGCTAAGTAGCAATTTCTTCCAGTAATCTTAGGAAAGAAGTTTAAGAGTTGGAAAGGAAAAATTATGTCTTGATTTTGAATTACATTTGGGAAATATGCAAATAGAAAAAGTAATTAATCACATGTTACCTACACATTATAGTAAAGGGTGTGTTTGTGTAGTAGTTTGTATTGCGATGTATCTGTGTATACTATAAAGGTCACAAATTAATTTATTGTAGACAAAGTTCTACGTTGATATTCAAAATTTGCCATTCACGAAGTTTATAGTCAACTGCTTACTGCAACAATTTATTGGGATGATAAAAATCCTCGGTAATGACCTGTTTAGTTCCCGAACAAACTAATTTGATGTTTTAAATAAATATTGTAAATGATAAACGTTTATTTACAAAGAGCAACCCCTGGAGTTTCTTGCTCAACATTGCAATTTGCTTACCTGACTTTTAATTTTGTAATTTGCTTACTTTGACCACCATCACTTCCGGCAACATTGTCGGAAGCTCCTAACTCCACTTCGTAAGGCAACTTACGAATGAGTGGTAGGGTTTAATCAAGATGACAATCCCAAGTGTAATGGTTTTCCATCTGGGAGGCGTGTGTTGTGGCGAGATGAAACGCTTTCTCTGTTTCAATCGATGAAATAGAAATCTCACCGGCTTATTTCCCTTATATCCCTCCCGCGAGCCATCGCGATCTCGCGTGAGCTCGCGCTGTGATGGTGATCAGTGCTGTCTGAGCTGTCCGGCTGAAATAACGTATCCCGTAAATTATTACATATGTTAACGGAAGAAGAATCAGATAAAACCAACTTTTTTAAAATCTCAAATCGTACGTACGCCGCAATCTTGCGTTGATATTAATAACCCTCGTGGGTACTCGCGAGACCATGCGCGAGAAATCGTGTTTCCATTAAAGAGTATAATACTCTATGTAGGGAGAAATATGGTTCAATATTACATCAATGAATATTTCAATTGTCGCCTCGCCCATCCACGTCAATCCAGACCATTTCCACCAAAGAAACGCTAAGAGATAATTGAAATTTTGTCTCGCCTCGCCTCGCCGCGGCGCGCCGGTGGAAAACCACCATAATTGGCGTACTAAAATAAAGATTCTTTGACTCTGACGCAACACTGATGTATTGACATTGAACGTTTACCACGATTGCTACAATTTGTATAATATATGTATCAGGTTACCTGATATTACCTAGTCTTGGTAAATATACTTATTAGCATTCCACTTGCGGACATCTCGATCATTCTTCGCGAGAATACGACGGATTATCTTTAAATGCAGCAGCAAGTGTATTTTTCAATTATACACGTTTTAATAATCTTTAATAGTCACAGTTACGGATAAACTGCTACAGTCACGTGAATTATTATACACGTTGCGTAAGAGAGGTACAGAAATAAAAAAGTGGCACAGGATCTCAAACTTTTTGTCTCGTAGACAACGTGCCATTTTTTTCTGTTTCGCGTAGATCCCCTGCGTTTCTAAATATGATTTTCTATCGGGTACATATCGGGGAGTGCAGAAACTTTTCAATTTAGTTCCACCCTTACCGTTCCTCCTTCGATCGACTAGAAGGCCCGGAACATTCCATCCATGTCGTTATACACCACCCATTCGCAATAAGCGCTTTGCTTCCTCCTTTCCGATGCGTACGGCAAAGGAATGGAATACTCTGTGTTTCCCGAAAAGTACAATTTGGGGCTATTCAAGGCTAGAGTGAATAGACATTTTTTAGGCAAACGCGTACCATCCTAGGTCACATCGTCGCTTAAATCTGGTGACATCTTAAGACGTGTTTTTAACAGCTGACACCCTTCGATGAGTTTGACTGTATAGTGAGAAACTTTATAAAAAAGAAACACATTTTATACCTTTTTCAAAATAATATTAAGTGACGGGACGAACTAGTCGTTCGTCTGATGGTAAGCTTCACGTCTATCCATAACAGTTGCAGTGCCACTCAGAGGTTTAAATCGCAAAGATATGAGGGGCACTGCCACTACGCCCGTCACGTCACGTGCCACAAGTCCCCCTGGATGAAATATTTTGCAAGGAGTTCTACTGCTTCTAAATACATTGATCAAAAATCTTGTTTATATAATATTATATTTTTAGAAATTTATGTATATATATAATGTAGCACCTGTGTGTTATCTGTGTAATGTGAGTTGTTAAACTTGTGGAATGCCAACATTTTGGCCATGACCGCCACACACGGGTAAAATGTTTGTTGGCTGTGAGTTGCTGAGAGTCGACAGAGGTATTGTTAAGGAACTATAAAATGATTTACGCTTTGTAGTTACCATAATATCAAAATGTTGTTAAGGGACCTAAACACCTCTGTTGGTTGTCAGTCTCCAAATTTTTTCTCGAGAGCTGAGCGATTTCTAAGATTTTTGGCCAGCTATTCCAAAAAGGTAGAAGCAAGATAATTCAATACAACATGAATACAACGCACGAAACATAAGGATACAAATACTGCCATCTGTTGGCAGCGGTCGGTACTCACTGCGTGTTGGTGGCATAGTTTGTGTTAGTAACTGGCTGTTTCGTGTCTAGTCTAACCAATACACTGATGTAATATCAAAAAAGAAAGGATTTTTCGACTTCTTGTAATTTTTGAGGTTATCAACATAAAAAGATACATTTAATATTTAATCATATCGAATAGCATGATGTTTTTACTAAAGTCCATTTGTTTAGGTACTTAACTAAATAAAAAAACAATCTTACATTTATAAAATGATTTTTACTTATCTTCAAATACAAAATACGAGTGCTTAGCTTCATATGAAATTGCATGCCTATTTCTATACCTATTCATTTGTATATAAGTATATATTTCAATAAAAAGATGTATCAAGATTGTATCAAGACTATACCATGATATTCATTTATTTTTTGTAAAAATACTCTACTGGTTTGTTATTGATACAAAGATGAAACTAATACAAAGAAAATTCCCCCGGTCCGACAGGAGTCGAACCAGCGTCTGTCGTCTCAACGTGTCTGGCGCTCTTACCATCTGAAGTACAGTTCGAGACAGCAAATTTTATGAAGTTCTCCATGTACTTTTGTGTTTTGTATCAATAAGAAAATACATGCACAATGGTACTACAGCAACGACACTATTCTCGAATTCTGCAATTAGCAGAGTACTGTAATAGTATAGTAGGGTTTGTTGGGACTTTTTTGGCGCCGCGAATTTCGTACAATGGCACAATGGAAACGACACTATTCTCGAAGTCACCTATTAGCACACTGGTAAGTGATTATATATCTCCAGTCGAATATATACTTTTGCTGGTAGTGAGTTTTGGCGGGTTGGCGCCATAAGCAACAAACTTCGACAAAGTCAACTATCACTTACTTTGCAGAAAATTGGACATTATACGTAATTACACTGCCATGCAGAGGTCCTGGGTTCGATTCCCAGGCCAGGAGAAATATGTGTATGGCCTACATTTATTTCTCTCGTGAGTTTGGGTGTAATTTGTGGTTGTCTATGTGTGTCTATGGCACCCGCGACTCAGGGTTTCCGTTTTCAGTGTGTGCGTTATTATTATTATTATTAATTCATGGCAGTCTTTTTGTTGTATTTGTAAATACTTCAGCCATACAAGTCAGTTGGTCACCGTAAAAGGTTACAGATTTGTGTCTATTTCTCAACGAAGGTGAAAATAAACCACACGTTTACAAAAATAACTCTATTTTTATTTACGTGAACGACAAGATTTTAATACATAAAAATACATTCAGTCTAAATTAAAAGTAAATTAAACTAAAAGCAATCTGAAAATTTGCCTACGGATCTGATTTATCTCAATGTACATTTCTTTAAATTATTATGTTAATGACATATGACAAAGTAACTTAAAATGACATATAGCGGGAACAACAGTATTCACAAAAATTCTGATTGATCCACTTGTGTTAAGCAATGGAACCATGAGTATTTGATAATCATACTAGACCCACTAGCGGAACCAAGCAGTGGGTCCAACAATCCTAAAGGACTTTCCCAAACACGTTACTTAGAGAACAAAGTAACTGAAATACAAAAAATGTAAACTTTGCAGGCTGAGCTCACGTCATATTTCCTTCATATTCACACATGATAAGAAATTTAAATTAAATAGAAAGTTTTACCGTCTCATTAATAATCACTCTTTGTAAGATATGTGTATGAGAAAGTGAGGCATCGATATGACAAATACAATAAAGCAACGCGTCCATATATATGTACATTGAACGGTTGCAGTGCGTACGAATATTTTATTTTCTATTATGCGTTACAACGTTCACATATTAATCTAATTTAATCGGAGTAATTTCCGCTAGTTTGGCCCTTGCATATTTCTTTAATAATTATGGTCATAACGAATAATTATGGCACTTAGCGTCGTTTAAAAATTACGTCTAGTATAAGATGTAAATATCTTTCTAAGAACACTTAGCGTTATTTATTACTTATTATATATAATTATTCCATACATTAGAGTTAAACTATGTGTTAAAAATGTGTGTTTAAAATTATATTCTAGATAAATATTTATATTCCGTATAATAAACGTATAGTGCCCGTTTAGACTATGTTTGATTTGACTTTCTGAAGCGCCTGCGCAAGGTTGCTTCTATGGCGCCATTATACTATATCGCACCTCAATAATAAAGTTAAAATTTGAAAATGACAAAGCAAGCGTTATCCATATTAATTCAGTCGAAAGATGTTTTGGTGATGTTGAACAAATCATTCACAACAACCGGTGTTAAGATACTCTCATTAATATAAAAAACAGTTTTAAAGAAAATTGTAACAATATGACATAATTCTACTTGATATGAAACACGATATATTAGTTTCACTTCGTAGGTATTTTTATTTATTTTTAACCGATTTCTAAAAAGGAGGATCTCAATTCGACTGTATTTTTTGTGTGTATGAACCGATTTCGACGATTCTTTTTTTATTGGAAAGAGGTTACCTCAGTATTGGTCCCATTTAAATTTAAAGAAAATAATCCACCTCCAAGGGTGCTACCCTTATTATATTAGGGAATAAATAAGGTTTATTGGATTTCAACCACTTTTCCTTAATCGTTTTCAATAAAACTTGGCAAATATATGTAATTTCACAAACTTTTGAAGACGGTTTACATTTTTGTTTTTATAAAAAGGGCATAATTATGTAAATTTCTCAAAAAAAGGGAATATCTTTAATTATTCTACAAACTTCAATGTGCCTCTATCGGTTCTTGCACTTTTCAGTGGGTCTTTTCGTAGTAGAGTTCAGAGGGAGGGGGAGAATAAAGAAGTTCTTCTGCTTCCGACAGTGTTCTGGCAGTGACGTCAAGCCGCGATCTCCCGCGCCAGGTAGTCGGTCTGCTGGTGCTGCTGGCGCAGCTGGCGCAGCGTGCGCCGGCACGACAGGCGTCGGGAGCCCAGGCGGGGGAAGCCCGACACGCGCTCCACCTTCACCGGGGCCTCCCGTCTGCGTATTCAAATATTTAATTATGACTTAGGTAAGCCAATCACATTGAACACTACGCCTCATTCGTAAAGAGACATCTGAAACGAATGAGTAAGAAACTCAAGGGGGTTTCTTATCAATACTTAAACATTTTTACAATATTTATTTCAAATATCATAGATAGCGGTCATTCTCGGACTAGTGGTTACTATCTAATTTCCGTGGTAATTTTTGTTATTTATTGTGCAATATTATTTCGTATTCGAGTATTGCATCGTGAAATATTAATGAATAATTACAAGATAATACACTTGAATATTTAAATAATAAAAATCGCCACAAAAATTAGGTAGTGAACACTAGTCCCTGAATGACCGAATAAAAACTATAATAACGTAAAGGGATCGCTAAAGTGGTTTTTTTTTTGCAACCCTGAAAAGGGCTTTAATAAAATCATCATTAATCAAAAAACGAATAATTATATATTTTGATTTTTTTAAATCAACCTACATTTTTTTTAAATTCTCATCCGCCAAAGCCATACAACATTCTTCCTTGTCTCTTTAATGCATAGACCACATCCATGGCCGTAATGCTGGGTGCACGAATCTTTCACTTGCATTTTTGCTTCCTTCCTTCCTTCCAAAGGCGTTCACAAGTCTTCCGCTGTGCGTTGCGGAGAGACTTGCGCGCATGCGCGGCGCCTTGTCTTTATTTTGGTTTTATTGGATACGTGGACGCCGCTGCTCTGTGATTGGCCAGTGGCGCTGTCCTCCGCAAACGTTCCCTGTTGCTTGCGTGGAAATATCAAACATGCTAGATATCAAACACACGCGACGCAAAGAAATCCAACACAAAGCAAACCGGCGCAAGCCAGCGACTCGTGAACAGTCCTCCCTGCGCGCAAAAGACAGATCTTCGCGTATGCGCGAAACGAGTCACGCAAGCAAGCGAAAACGACTCGTGCTCCCGGCATAACGTTTTTTCTTTTCGCTAGTGTAGGTTACAGCATGACGTAGGTATGACTATACTTTCAAAATGTCTCTCGTTTTTTCGTAAATTAAACCAGAAATTCGTTTAACACCGCCTCTTCCAGCTAATCTTCTAATTACAGCTTTTGTTATGCCCTGGAAGTACTTTTCTGTAGCGTTATGCGCCTCCTTTGCCGAGTCCTTTCTCGCCTTTTCCGCGACCTGTCATTTTTGACAGTTTTCTTTTTAAATTAGATATTAGAGGGACAAAGATTGAGAGACGAATTTTGAACGATTTTTGTTTTTTGTTTCGAGATAGTCTTCAACCTCGTGAATGATAAATTTCGAATATCAACCAGAATCTTACTGTATTATAAGCATGTTGGAAGTATGACCGTAAAGGGAGATGTAGAGAGACACTCCTTCGTCACCGATTGTATGAGAACTGTTTCCAAGACTAAATTTAAGAAAGAAATATACCTGAAAAACATATGATGTTCGACGCTGCACTTCCACAGTTTCTTGCAGGCTCTTGTAGCGGGCAACTTGAAACTGAGATGGGTTTCGAACTCGTCGAACTCGCTGGCTCGCAGCTTAAGCGTGTACAATCGCTTGTTGTAGCTGATCTTGACGATCTTTGCCCATGGAAAACGATTCATCAACAATCTGGAAATAAGGAACAGACTTTAAAATGATGGATCTTGTTGTTGTACTACGTTTTGACTGAAAGAACGTCAATAAACCATGAAGATTTTGTTATCAATCCACATTATGCTGTGGGAAGGTATAGAATATACATAGATCGTTTAAAATATATATAGTATGTTGGAATATGGTTCTACGCATTAAAGCGGCTGAACACCTCTACAGCCCGATTAAAGAAAGAAAGAAAACTGCTTATTGCACAAGTACAGACACGCACAATGAACACGATAGGCGCTAAATGAGGATGGTGTAGGTATAAACAAGGAATAGAAATAGCTGTTCTTGACAGTTGCCTTCACAAAGTCACAAATTCTTCTAAGGGGCAATGTGCTTCTTTCTTTAAAATACGTGAGGTTATTACCACGTGACCGTGGGGGTTTAGCTCTTGCAGGTATTCTGTTTGAAATAAATATTGTAAATGATATATGTATATGTATTGAAAAGAATATTCACAAAGAGGAACCCCTAGCGTTTCTTGCCCATTCTTCTCAGGGGAATCTGCCTTACGAATGAACAGTAGAGTTTAATCAATATATTTCAAGTGTAATTTGTTTACTTATGAAATACATAGGGCGCACTTAAGTTTCCGGAACTGTCCACTTACATAAACAATTTTTAAAAAGTAATTACAACATTTGAAAATGGATCTCTTGAGCTGTAGAATACAGTTTGTTTCATCTGACTGTCACTTGTTTTTACATGGTGGCGTCATTTTAGAAATTGGTTGTTTACATCACCATGGAATTCATGAAAATTTTCGTTGGTTGATTTTCTACGACTTTAAGTGTAATTTAACAGCTCAGCGGAGCTTCGCTCGGTTTCAAATTGTTTTTGGCGATGAAGCACCGTCCAAGACGACTATTTATAGCTGGTTTGCAGAATTCAAACGCGGTCGTGTGAATCTCCGTGACGAATTTCGTGATGATCGCCCGTACATCCATATGATCAAAACAGACAGGCATGTGACATACCATGAGATTCAGGCATCTTTAGGCATAGGCATGAGTCAAATACAATCAATACTACACAAACATTTGGGAGCGAAAAAGCTGTACTCTCGGTGGATCCCACATATTTGACTGAGGCTCAAAAAACGGATCGCATCACTTGGTGCAATGCCATACTTACGAGATTCAACGAAGGGGCGTGAAATTTGGTGTGGGATATAGTAATAGGTGACGAAACATGGATTTATAGTTACAATCCCAAAACAAAGCAGCAATCGAGCGTATGGGTCTTTCGAGATGAGACCAACCAAAGTGGTGTGCGTGCAAAGTGCCTCTAAGCGGATGATTGCTTCTTTTTTTAATAAAACTGGACACGTGGCTACAGTTGTTTGAAGAATTGTTGTACCGTGACTATTGATCGGCACACGAGCATTTGTTTGCCGGAGGTTATTAAAAAACTCCGTAAAAATAACCGTAAACGCCATATCATCTTGCACCACGATAATACCAGTTCTCACACGGCCAGAGAGACAAATGAATTTTTGAAAGTGAACAACGTTGACCTTAAGAGCCATCCAGCGTACAGTCCCGACATGGCACTTTGAGACTTTTATTTATTTCCAAAAATTAAGAACCAGTTACGCGGTCAACGATTCATCACCTGAAGAGGCTGTCGAAGAGTATGAACAATATGTTTTAGAGATTGTCACGGAGGAGTGGTATAAATGTTTTCAAAATTGGTTCATTTGTATGAAAAAGTGCATTAACGCTAACGGAGAATATTTTGAGAAACAATAAATTCATTTCTGACCATTTATAGTATTTTTTTCTTATTCATTCCGGAAACTTATAGTGCGCCCCAAATAAAGATGACTTTGAATTTGAATTTTAAGGGTAGACCTGGTTTCGATAATATAGGAAACGAATCTTCCGAAATTGGTCTGTGTTTACGAACACCCAGACCCGAGACAATATAGAAAAGTTAGTTTTTTCAACATTAACCGGGCTGGGAGTCGAACCGGGAACCTCAGAGATGGCGACACCAAGAAAACCGGTGTATATTTTATTAAACAGCATTAAAAAAATATACTAAAACAACAGTATTTTTTATTCTTCTTGCATGGACACGGCAACACTATAGAGTGGACCTAATAGTCTGAGGAAATTGAAGAGCGATGTTAATAAAACCAGGTCCTCTCTAAAGCACATTAAACGCTAAATGTTAGGAACCCACCATAAAAATTAAAAAAAACTTTCATAAATAAGGAGTTCTAAGAGCTCTTACACATAAACACGGTACGACGTTACGTCGTAGCACGACGACGTCGTACCCTAGCGAGCCTTAAGAGTTCTTACACATACGTTGTAACGTGTTTATGTGTAAGAGCCCTTAGGTTTTCGCAAAATCGCAGTCAAACTCAAAGAACCATTTATTTAGTTAAATAAATTTACACTTGAAAATTTCGTCGTTCACTGTGCTGACCTCCCTGAGAAGAACGAGCAAGAAACTCGATAGATTGCTCTTTTCAAATAAACTTAAATGCTAAATGATTGAGCTCATGTGAGCGGAACGTCGCGTACTGTTGGCATACGTGTCACACAAACTAAGCACTTCCACTGTATTTATGGTTCTGTGGTCTTACCCATCTCGGTAAATGGAGACACCATTAGCACAAATAGCAAGCACAATGTCGATGTCATCAGAGTCTTGTGCGCAGTGTAGCTCAGAGCCGTATAGGCTCAGCTTCTTCGCGTTTTCGAGGTAGTTCAGTTCGGCTTCCGCGGGAGTTTGGCCTCTGAAAATAGAATTCAATAAGTAAGTGACGAACCCGTCCATGTTAAACGTCAAATATTGCACAAAAAGTGCAATAGCGAAAATAAATGAACGAAGTCCACAGGTCCACTAAATAGTCACCCATTCTGCCAAGAATGGTGAATGGGACGGTTCCTTTTTAAGAGAGGTTCCTTCTTCTTTTACATGTTATGGCCTCGTCGATTTATTCGATGATTCCGCAAATGTCGAGTAAAAATGTCGTGGGTTTTCTGGTCTGGCTCAAGTGTCACAATTGGCAGCGATTGGCAAATGATCAACCTCAAAAAACTGACCGATGTTTCCTATAAAGCTCCCGTATCTTGTCCACCAGTTCGTCATTCAAGACGTTAACCGGCGCGACTCTGTGCTCAGCTAGCACCGACGG